ATTTATATAATACATATCAATATACTTAAAATTATATATTTGTTTAATTTAGGGTCAATAATATTTTCATTTCAAATAGACGCTCGTTCAAAAATAAATTAATAAGTTTAATTCAATTTACAAGATTAAATTAAGCTTAAATTACAGATAAAGCTGGAATCTGTTTTAATGTGTTTTTAAGATTCTAGTCTTAGTAAAAAATATATGTATTAAAACATATATAAACATATGTAAAATATATATAGACCTGCGGTCGGCTGCGATAAGAAGGTCTCCACCAACGAAAGTTTTTTTTTCTATTTATTTTAGTACTTTTTCAAAATAATATTGTGGACTTGAAAATACGAATAAGTGATTCATTTTTTCACACAGTGTTTCGTTTGGGATATCTGTTCATTTAATAAAAATAATGTCGAACAATTTTTGTTGTCAATCAAACATTATTACATGATCTGATTTGAAAGGCTTGTACACGTTAAAAATCCATATTATACCGATTGAATTAGTGAAATATCTTAGGCAGCTAATCTATTTATAGTTATTTATTAACTTATTCATTGAAAAATATTGCAATATGTCTCAAGGACATTTATAATAGTGTTCAGAGATCACATTCACACTCTATGCACAATAAATAAAATAAATTATACAGAAAAATAATATATGTACAATAAAATAACCTTAAAATAAACAAATAAAATGAACACATACATACCTATATACAATATTTACAATTTGGCGGGTGAAGTCCAAACCAGACTTGGAGGAAAATCAGGCCATTGGCAGAACTCCAATATTTACAAACTATAAATAGGGGTCACTGCCGTTTTAACCTTCTTGGAGGATTATAGGGATGGGTGGTGCAGGATAGGGATTGTGCAAACTGATTTGGATGATGGGTAAGGTTCTGGTGAAATTTGGAGAATTTTGCTGGGATAAGGTGTAGGACAAATGGGATATTAAGGTCATGGTGTAGGGTTTTGTTGGTTACATAGAAAGGAAAATCGACTATTGTTCGAAGGACTTTGGATTGGAAGGATTGGATGCGTTTGATGTTAGAAAATTTTACTGTTCCCCACAGGTCAAGTCCGTAAGTACAAGTAGGTTTCAGTATTGTCTTGTAGATAAGTATTTTATATTCAATAGAGAGTTTAGATTTTATATTTAGTAGTCTATATAGTTAACCGTATCGTCGGTTAAGTTCTTGTCTTTTGAGTCTAGTATGAGGGTTCCACGTTAGTCGTCTGTCTAAGAGAAACCCAAGGTACCGGACTGTATCTGAGAAAGGAAGCTAGATGGAATTAAAATGTACTGGTGGATAGGAACTGCGTCGGAGCGTGAAGGTGATGTATTGGCATTTGGATTCGTTTACTTTAATACGCCATTTATTACACCAGTGCTCAATCAGGAAGAGGTGTCTTTGAAGGTTTAATGATGCTATATCAGGATCTGAGTCGGATGATAGAATGGCGGTGTCATCAGCAAAAGTTGCCAGGAAGGTATTGGGATGGACAGAGATATCGGCGGTAAAAAGGATGTAAAGGACGGGACCCAATACTCCAACTTAAGGAACACCAGCCTCAACTTGTTTTTCATGGGAGTTCTTGAGGAGTGGTTTGGAGAGGAAGCAGTCCAGATTGCTTGTTGGATAGTGTTGGTAAAAAAATGTAGGGAATTGTCAAGGTCATCTGGGGTTTTCAGGGTTATTCTAAGGTCAATTTTATCAAAAAGTATTTGGTGAAAGAGTTTCCAGTTAACTGGGCCTCTAATGAAGGACGGTGGAGAAGACTTAGGAATAGGAATTAGAGATAATTGGAGTAATTATGGACTATGATCTGAGGATAGTTCCGCAAGAAGGGTAAGGGAATGATTGAGGGAACCTAAGCCACTGTGGATGAATAAATCAAGGATATCGGGATTGCGGTTAGGATCTGTGGGCCAGTAGGTAGGTGAGTTAGGAGGAAAGATACTGAAACGTTGGGAATTGAGTTCAGATAACAAGGTTCTGCCTCGAGAATTCGTGGTTCTAGAACCCCATTTATGATGTTTGGCGTTTAAATCTCCGCCCAGGATGAAGTAATTTCTTAAGGAGTTGAGAAGAGATCTGAACTAGATATTGGATATGGATCTGTTAGGAGGGCAACATGCTGATGGTTTGGTGACGGGCCACCACAAATGCCAGTCTCTAGTTTCTTCATTAGTACAGGTGAGGAGGAACCAACCCACCTGATAGCCAGATTTTTTTAAACTCAGAGTTCTTCTGGTGTGTGGCTCATTGCACCTAAGGTCGATTTCGACTATGAGGAGCCTGCGTATGAGTTGCGCCTCGTCTTGTCGGATAGGCTCACCCTCCTGGCTCCCCATTATAACCACATGCTGAAATACTATATCAACCTGGTTGATTTTTAGGTTCCTCTGATATCCCAATTTCTCAGGAGAACTGTAAATTTTATACAGGTATTCGAGATCAGAAGATACATCCTCCTCTATATAGTGTGATCTTTCTTTCAACCCTCGGTTAGCCGATTGCCTTCTATCCAACTTACACACACGAGCTAGATGGCCTATTTTCTGACAATTATTGCAGGTATATTCCCTAAAACGGCATTTGCCAGGGTCAAGACCCACTTTACCACAAATGCTACATTAGTTTGGATAGCTTTTATTAGTTTGTCCCCTAGAGACTGATGGTCTTTCTTTTTCTCTACAAACAAAGTGCACAGGTTCCTTTTTAACCGCTATATCTTAATCATACGGCCTAAATGTAGCCTCTTTTGCAGTAGGTATTTCTATCGCCCTGAGCAGTGAAACATTCGCAGGACTTTCTTCGAACAGCCGATCCCTTATCGGTTTTTTATTCATACCTATAATTAATTTATCTAACATAACAAAATCAAGATAATTGTTGAAAGCACAATGGGAAGCCAGGTACTGAATGCGGGCTACCATTCATTTATTGATTCAGTATCTTCCATAGCTGCATTGTGGGATCTATAACGGGCTCAAAAAAGTGATTCAGACGGGACAAAATATTCATCAAATAATTTTAAAAGTTCTGAAAAGGTTAAACCTTTTGGTTTCTTGGGAACACTTAATGTTAGCTTAAAAGCTTCATCATCTAACGAATTAAGAAATAAATCGCGCCTTTGTGTTCCGTTTTGGATACTGTTTGCATCGAAAAAGCTTTCCATCCGTGGCTTATACATAGTCCAGTCCATATTCATGGGAAATTCTGTGAGTACCCCTATGATCGGCAACATAACCATCTCTGTGGGCTTTACTGACGATTTATCAGGAGGTGACATAATAGTAAATAGTGTACACTTACTTTCAGGATTAATCCTCGTCACCAATGTAATGTATCAATGAATTCACTGTAAATCAAACATAGACAATTTCCATTTATTGTTGCTGATTATATTTTTTTATTTATTGCTGATTATACTTGGTTTCAATCTTTCCTCTCACAACGTACCCAACCCAAGCAGTCTCCATACCCAACCAACCACTATCTGCCTTCCTTTCTTTATCCTCTGGAGTTGCCCAGTGTTCAAGCATATCTCCTCTCCTTTTCAGCTCCTACATTAACGACCTACCTAAATCAATTCTCCATTGTTCCCATCACCTTTATGCAGACGATTCACAGATCTACCTATCATTTTCCCCTCCTGAGTTACTGGAGGCATTTGCCAAGATCCAAGAAGACCTAGATCGAATCAGTGCCTGGGCAAATGTAAATGGATTAAGGTTAAATGCCGCCAAAACTCAGGCCATAGTCATTGCTTCCAAGCCCCTTCTTAGATCCCATCCAGACTTTCCCATCCTTCACCTTAATGACCAGCCAATCTCCTTCTACTCCTCTGTTAAAAATTTAGGATTTTTCATTTATCAAAACCTCCTTTGGAATCACCATATTTCTCATATCTCTCGACGGACAATTTCCACCCTCAAACTATTCCATCGCTTCCGCCATCTCCTACCTCAACATACGCGTAGACTCCTAGTTTCCTCTCTCATTTTCCCCCACTTTGACTATAGCTGTGTGGTGTATGATGGCCTCTCTGTGGAGTTCCGTGATAGACTGAAAAGACTAATGAACAGCTGCGTAAGATTTGTGATCGGGGCCCCAAGATACTCCCATGTTTCTCACCACTACGCTGAGTTAAAGTGGCTTTTCCCCTCCTTCCGAAGACAATATTTCCTAGGTACGTTCCTCTACCAAATCATCAACAGCCATCGTCCTTCTTACGCCTACAACCTTCTCCAGTTCAAATCCTCAGTCCATTCCCTGTCCACAAGATCTCGACCTTCTAACCTTTACATGCCTTCTCACAGATCTGCCTCATTCCAAAACTCCTTTGTTGTTCGCTCTGTCAATTTCTGGAATTCCCTCCCTATCAAAATTCGACATTCCCCATCCATATCCAAATTCAAAACCCTCCTATTCCAATTCCTATCCCAAGAACAGTCAGATAGTTGCTAACCATTCGAGCTGATTTTAATAGAGAATTTGATACATACAAATTCATTGATTGATTAATTGATACATTTTTAATTTTAATTCTTTATTATTTTCTCAAAAGTGTATACGAGTCTATCAGTGCAAATAGCTTTAAGTGCCTTGTCATAGTATTAATTGTTTTGTATATAGTTTCGTTTTTTGTATATAGAATGTTTACCTTATATTTTTTTTACATTATTTCTTTTTTCGATTGATTTTATTTTGGCCAGATCTGATCTTTTAATTTTGTTCTATTTTGTTATTCTCAAGGGACTGTGTCCCAGAATAAAATTATTTTTCTATCTATCTATCTATATTTGTGTTCCTAATCACTCAAAAAAAATATGAACCATTACCAAAAAGATTGAATACTAAATCGATACAACATCGATTTAGTATTTAACCCTTTAACAAAAGGTTAATATACTACACCTTTATTCACCAAAGATGTTTTTTTAGTGAATATTATATTTTAATTATGCCATTGGATTATTTTCAACAGATAACATTTCAAATTGGTAACATTTTAATGTTTAAAAAAAATATTATTATGTTTCAGTTCCACCTCAGAGACCAAAAATATTCGATGAAGGCGGGCGGGAATTAACATCAGTTGCAGGTCCCTATGAAGAAGGTTCAGAAATGAAACTTACTTGTGTTGTTTCTGGAGGTAATATATATGTAATAATATAATATTGATTTATTACGAATATTTACTTATCTTTATCCACTAAAATTGAATTTAAGGTATATAAAGACATGCCATTTATTGCTAGAGTACAGACATACTGAGGTATTAATAAATGACATACTAAAATGAAAACTTTTATCTTGTTGGTGGTCATCTGTTATATTCAATATATAATATAAGGAAAGAAAATAACAATCACCTTCACACTGCTTTCCATTTTATATTGCCTAACATTTTGGTTTAAACTACCCATTATCAAAGGCATTGCAATTTAACAACATTCAAAATGAATCATATATAATTAGTCTGTCAGCATCATAATTTACTTATTAATTCATATTATTATATTTATAATTGATAAGATTGGGTGGGGTGTTCAGTAAAAAAAAGTAAAAATAAATAAATTATATTTTATTTTTACTTTTTTTTTTTGTAACTGAACACTCAAACCAATCCACTCTTCAATTATTCACTACAGTCAACCATCAATCTACAATTATAATATTTATACTACTTTAGTAAATCATATATTTTACTATATATTTTTCTTTTATGCTAATACATTAATCCATTGCACTGTTTTTTTATTAATATCATATCTTATTGTAAAGCAATATGTTTAATTTAATTTTCTCAGTCCATGGGAGACATGTCCAACCATTTTCATGTTACTCATTTTTTCAAATATTTAAAAATTTTATAATTCATGCTATACCTAAGAGAACTGACTCCTCTTGCTCGGAAAAAAACCCTTTACAGCCAAAAATGTGAGCAAAGACATTTAAAAATAGTTAATCTCCTCTTAGCACATCAAGAGACAATTCCAAGTTATCTGTGCCTATCATCGTTGACTTTGTTATCAGATCACTTATGGATACTACAATTGGCACGATGGTAATGCATTTCAAATAATGTGCTATCAAAATAATGCTATTCATTTTATCCAATCACTAGTTATCGTTTTGATTTTGGGTTGTTATTTTTATGCATGTTTCATGTTAAGTTAAAAGAGTTACCTTAGAATTATAAAAACTGCTAAGCATAACTATATTTTCAACAGAAATCTATATTTGCTTACATGCATAAAGCTCAATAAATATATATATTTTTTAATCTTAATAGTTTTGGTTATGTGATTATATACTTTATTAATACAAAAGTAATCTGAATAAACTGAAATTATTGCTTTTAAATATTCTTAAAATTTTAAAATTTTTAGCATCTTAAATCTCCAGAACTATCTTATTAGACTTTCAGTTCCAAAGTCAGTAAAGTCCATCTTCCAATATTTAATTTTTTGGTTTTGGTTTTATTGATATGTATTTTTGGATTTGAATTCAAAAAATGGATTAGGCTGATTTTGGAAATGGATGCTGTTCATATGAAGTATTGAGTCATTTTTTTTTCTTCACTCATTACCAAATTTGTATTTAAAAATACTGAATTGTCCAAAATCCTTGTTTCAGGACGTCCTGAACCTTGGGTAAGGTGGTGGAGAGATGAAACCTTGGTAGATTCGTCTGATACTATTGCAGGATATCCAAATGTGAAGAAAAATCAACTTGTGATCAGCAGATTATCGCGAGAACATTTAAATTCTGTTTTCACATGCCAAGCATCTAATAACAATATTAGTCAGCCAGTTTCAACTAGTCTTACAGTTGAAATTCATTGTAAGTTTTAAATTTACTGGTTTAATATACACTATAACTTTTTCAGCTATATATGAAAAATGGGCATAGAACTTGAATTATTTTATTTAGTGGCTTAGTAATGTTCCATCGAAATTATTTCTATGACAGGCTGCCTAATGGTCAGACATTGATTTCTTCATTAGGTTTCCCATATAAGTTTGGTTTTATTGATCGAATATCTATGTATTTTTTATTAAATCAGAATGATCTTATTCCATTCAATAGGTAGACATTAAGAATAAAATTAATATGGGTACAAGCTAGGTTGTAACAGAATCAGAAATAAATCTAATACATTCAGAACAATTGATATTTAGTTTCTTCCTCCCATACACATCAATCAATTTGGTTTACACTTATAAGACTGCATAGTTATTATTTGATAAATGATTACTAGATGAATATTTACCGTCTCCTTGCTCCAAGGAAATATTTTTTCTTTTAATTTTATTTTTGAATGGTATATAGTTATTTATATGAATATTTCCTGTTTGGAAATTTTATCTTACAAAACATCCCTTCCTCTGCCCTCCATTACTGAATTTTATCTTCTTTCTATAAATTGATCTTTATATGAATAAAGAAATAATATTTTGTAAAATTATTTCCTAATTCCTTTTTTATGGGTTCCATCTGTAATCTCTTTGAACTGTAGATCCTAGACCACAAACCTTCTGTAAATTCTTTTTCATAGAAAAGCTTCCTTCAAAAAATACTTTTGTCACCCATTCTATCTAGTTTTGGAATACCTTAGCGACATCCATGCATAAACCCACATCTTTAACTTCATTTAAAGACCAATTATTTTCTCATCTTCTCAACAATCAATGTTCTGAATATATGTAAGAATAATATTTTGTTATTTTGGTTTAACCTACTTATTATTTTACTGTTATCATTGAAGTTAACTACAAGTGAAAATTACAAAACATAACAAATTTTAGTAATCTATTACTCATTATTTTCATTCATTTTTGCTTGCCCTTATTATTTATTTTATAATTTAATTATTTAGTAATTATTGATTTTATGCCAAACAAATTAAACTGTAAATGTATGTTTCCATAATTCTTAGGGGATTAGGTGTCTCAGAATAAAATTGACTTTTTTCTTTCTTAAAGTAACATTATATTTTGTTAATAAACTTTGTTTTTACACTAAAACGATTAATATTTTCAATTAGTCCTTAATTTAAACACATACATATTCTTTATTTAGTACATTGTTACTTTATTTTAAAGCATAAATACAAATTGTTTCAGTTAAACCAATGAATGTATCAATCATCACAGAAATGCAACCAATGTCAGCCAACAGGAAATACAAAATTGTTTGCGTCAGTATTGGTTCCAGACCTCCAGCTAAAATTTCTTGGTGGCGTGATAATGAACTACTAACTTCTGTATCTGAAAAGGTTTAACAAGTTTTTACTCTGTTTATTTAATTATCATTTTCATTTATAATGGTTGTAATGATTATAAACGTATTTTATGATATTAGTAGGTGTTATGCTCTATAAGATTAATTTAATATTATTAAAGGGGAGTAGACAAGTAATATTTCGATGTAAATTAAGGAATTATATATTTGCCTTCCATTCCCAAACTAGGCATTTTTAAAAATAAACAAACAATAAATAAACAATATCAATTTTTTTTATCATTTCATATGGCCTAATCACTTTTATATCAGCTTAAATGTAATCTACTAATCATATTTCAATTCAAATTATATCTTCTATACCATATTGTATATTTAATGTATATCGTAACTAATTAACATATGTACCTATCCCAAATTAAAAAAGTTATTAGACATTAAATATGAGGATATTGACATATGTACTAATTAACATATGTACCTATCCCAAATTAAAAAAGTTATTAGACATTAAATATGAGGATATTGACATATTTAATCAATATATAAATACAAAATGAAACAAAATCTGATATTGTTGATACTCATAAATGCTGTATTCTCTCGATTTTTATGAATTTAAATTGAAAAATTTAACTCATAAATTATTCTTGTTTTATATAAGAAGGCAATAACATTTTTTTTTTTGTCCAAGCAGTAATTATAAAATTTATATCACAGAACTTGATGATAAAAATTTCAAACCCGAGTGTTTTCAATAAAAACACATTTTTAAGGTCCCCTGAGTCTAAATACTCAAGTTACCTAAACTGGTATGTATGTGTTTGTGAACAGCATATCTCAAAAACAAAGAAGTTGGGTAGTAAGTGAATGTTTTGTGATGTACCACACAAATCAGATATTTTTTGCTTCTTTTTAAGATAATAATATAAAATATTACAAACATTTCATTATCTGAGCAATTAAATTATCTGTAAATATTTTTTTGAAGTATTTTATTTTAATAAATATTTCATTAAATCTAATATCTCATTATATTTCTCGTTTGAAATTATAATATTAAAGATTTACATAAAATACAAGTCGTAGAGGAATGATTACACTAGTCGAAATAATGATTTACAACTTAATAGGAGGAATTAAGGTTATCGGACTAGAATTTTGGATTTTAGTTTGAAAATATATTTAAGTTTTAACTTAGTTAAATTAAAATAAAAACTTTGTTGTAACTGTTATATTTCAAATTATCCTTCAAATTTTTATTAGCTAAACCTTAAAATACAAATTGTTTTTCCAAATATTCAATAAAAATTAATCAATTTTTAACAATGCTTATTTATCTAGAATATAATACATTAGTCACAATATTAAAAAAACACCATGCTCCAAACAAAAATGAGATTATACCACTCATTTATTGTAAGCACGGTATTATATGCTTCAGAAACCTGGATGATCTCAACAAACTCAGCAAGAAAACTATTATCAATGGAAATGGATTTTTGGAGATGAAGTTCTAGAATACCAAGACTTCATAATGCCAATAGAGAAAAAGTGAAATAACCTCTCAACATCCTATACTCCATTGATAAAAAAAGCTGAATTGGTTTGGACACTTTATGAGAATGAATAATAACCGATGACCTAAGAAGGTACTTACAGAATGTACCAATTGAAAGAAAGAAGAGACCAGAAAAGCGATGGATTGAAAGTATCCATGAGGCAAAAACATGTAGAGGACTCTGAGATGAAGATTGACATATTAAAAAGAAATGGTGGCAAGGACTATTAGGTTACGACATATGACATTAAAGTGTATTGGAATAAAGTTGTTTGTGTTCATAAAATATTAAAGAATCGCTTAAAAGTCAAAATATAGTATATTATTAGTGATAAATATAACAAAAAACAAATTAGAAAACTAGATATAATATATAGGTGTCTAAACCTAGTCAAGACAATTTGATTTAATTAATGGTAAATTTTGTACAGTATTAGGTCTTAAATTATAACTTTAAAAGAATTGTAAATTATTTTAAAGAGTCAACAAATTTTGACTCATTTCTAACAGACTAGATTAATATTTATTTAAAAAATTCAAATAAAAATAAAGTTTTGAATAAATTATTGATTATTAATATAATGTGAATTAAAACTTAACTAATACAAAAACAATTGTTTATAGTAAGAAAAATATTCAATATTAGGTTTTTTTTCCTTTTTTTTGGTGCATCAGGTATTTAAAGTATTCCTTGGTCTGCACTGTCTCTAAGTTCCATCAGTTTCAGTCCTGGGTATGTAATACACTTATTCTTAGTTTTCTAACATCTTCCAGGACTTTTTTTTCACATACTCTTTGGTCTTTCTATAGGCCTTACTTCACCAACACAGTAGTTGTACATTCATCATGCCATCCTTCCTTCATCCATTTTTAGCAAGTGATTTAAATACTTTTGTCTTTGTATCCTGTCTAAAGATTAGACACTCATACCACCATAAACCATTTTTCTGGACTGACCCTATGATTTGTCTGGGGGCAGATATCCTGAGAATACGATAAACACTCATTATGGGCAAATTGGAATATTTCAATCTATAAATACACATTTGAGCTTGTAATACTGTGACAAATTTAAAAGTTAGTTTTAATATATAATTTATTAATTATTTTTTCATTCTTATTAATGATAAATTTCAATTATTCTCTAGATTTTATGGCACCACATTTTATATTCTATTTTACTAAATATAATACCTATATAGACATAATGCAAAGACACAAATCTGTAATAGGTTTAAACATTTAAGGTTGAAATTAATTGAAATTTTGATCCTATACTAAATGACTCTAATTTCAATCCTGTTTGTTAGATTATCTATCGGCAGTCTTAACGATTCTCTCATCCATCTATAATGTAATGTCAAATGTCAGTCACCTCTTATAGTACCATTGAAGTTGTTTACTTTAACCCTTAAAGAATAAAATTGTTCCTATAGTTCTGTTTTGTTGCATATGTCCTACCAGTAATAACCTAAAGGGTGATAGGCCTGGTAGAAAAACAAGAAAAATAAAAATGAAATTTTCCGTTTTGATATATTTTTTATTGTTTTCTAGTTATATTTGAATGAAAAATGTTTATTAAGTTTGAAAATAGAAACACAGATCTTTCTCAAAAAATACTTAGAAAAACTTTGTTATAAAACATATTAGGTTTCAGTGAATCTTCTCCTTGATGGATAAATCTTTAAATTGCACCATATTTAAGATTTGTGTTTTTTTTTATGTGAATCAGGTTTTTTATTGAATAGGAAGCGATAACTTAAAACATATTTGATTTAAATAATTAAACATTGCTCCAAAGTAAACTAGACAAAATTTACTTTAAATTAAATTAATAAATTAAATTAAAGTTTGTCTTTGTTAAAACTATTTAAAGAGGACTATTGAGCTATTGAGTGAACAAACACAGTTAAGTTCCGGGTACTTTTAGTCTAAGGGGCCGCTACTGACTGCTATCCGGCAATGTTTATAACCTGAACACTGATAGCTCCCATAACGCAGTGATAAGCCTTCTCCTACTTCACATCTTCGTATTATTGTATTAAATTCGTATTATTGAAAGTGTAAACAGATACAAAAACAAATGTAATAACAAAAATACTTTTATTTGACGGCAAATATATTAATTAAATAATAAAAAAACACTTTAAGAAGATATGTACATATAAAACATCAAACATCATAACAAATTATAATCATAACATCGGCATCATAACAAATTTAAAAGAACATATTTACATAGAAAAGAAAAAATATAAACACTATAAACAACATATATACAAATTATTTTAAGTTAATTATTCACTTCCTTTTGTCTTATTTATTTTGGAAGGCAAAATTGTTTTATGCTACTTAAAATACGAGGAACGAGTCCTCTTCTCTGTGAACCCGCCGCCACAAAAATTCGCACAAATATGAATCGAGGTGTTGTCTGGCAGTTCCTCTATGTACTTTATTTCTCCACTTAGCTGAGCCCCACAATCTTTCTATGTGTTGAGTATGAATCCCAGTTGATGGATCGACAAAATTATACCGGTGAGTTTTGTGTCACAAGTCTTACGAAAGCATCTCCATTTGGCCTTCTTGGTTAACTTCATTCCATGACCTCGTTCACACAATTTCACGTCGGCAAGTACCCCAAACATTTTGAAAATACTGAATTGCCTGTTCTTCTGAAGACGGTAAATCCCATATTCTAAGATGATCCATAATATGACGAAAATAAACGAAAAAAAATGAAAAATAAACACCAAGGGGTCACAAACTAAAACAAAATGTAAAATAAACACAAACGGGCCAAAAACTAAAAATAAACACAAACGAGCCAAAAGTAAAGAATTTAATAAGTGAACGTAATAAGGGAATAACTGAAAACCAAACAATGCAATAACTCAAAAGTTTGGCGGGATAACAAGAGGGAGGTTATGTAACATGATGACATGACGTTAGATAAGATAGATAAGAAGTGAGGTTTCAAAACGGCCCCTTAGACTAAAAGTACCAAGTTCCGTTTAAAAAAATGTCTTCAACTATTTGTGATTTTTTGTATCAGCCTTCAACTGTACTACATTTACCCCACTTTTAAAAAAAACTTCCTCATTTAATAAGCTTTAAGTCCATATTTATTAAGTTGGGGTTTATTAGTAAAAGTTCTTGAGATTCACCACAAGTTGTGTAAAGAAATTATGTGATTTTCTATCCATTCACCCTAGTTTCCTACAACAATTACTACAATTAATTGCTGCAGCTTTTATTTCTTGTTTTTCTTTTATTTCTTGTTTTATTAAATGAGAATTGGAGTGCTACCGTAAAAATCACAAATCTTGAATTTCCCACTTTTCTGCTGGAAATTGAGCAAATTTTTATATGAACGTTTTTGTAGATCTTGATGTCTACTATAACCTTTTAAATATTTCCCTCTACTTACATGACACCCTGTTTATTGGATGGGCAATATATGATAAATGTTTAAAAATTATTGTTTTAGATTTCTGATGATGAAAATGTTACCACTTCAACTCTCGCATTCACACCTTCAAATGATGATAATGGTGGTCGTCTCACTTGTAGAGCTGATAATCCAAGAGTAAATGGTGCTGCCCAGGAAGTTACTTGGAAATTGGATGTTCACTGTATGCTATAATTCTTGATCATTATTGTTGATATTCAATAATATATTTATGAATATCAGTAGTAAAATGATTTTGTGGCATCTCTCTTGATATTATTATTTATTATTTAATTAATTTTATGATATTTCAGATATGCCACATGTGCGATTAGAGTTAGGATCAAAAATGAATCCAGAAGATATTGAGGAGGGAGATGATGTTTACTTTGAATGTAAAGTAAAGGCTAATCCTGGAGCTTACAAAGTATTATGGAAGCACAATGTAAGTATGGAAATTGGATAAGATGAATTTTTCAATCTTTTCTCCTAGCTTATTAATCTCAATAACCATATCCACTTTATATTTGATAAATTCTTTCTTATATCAAATATTCTAATCAAAATGGCTTTGTTAAACTTTTACTCTAGACATATTTTTTTTTTAACAAATAAAAGAGGATTTAGTCTATTTTTTTTTTATTTATTAACACCTTTTCCTGCTTCTCGGCAATACAGATTTTTGGTAGAAGCATCACACATGCCACTTTTACCATTTATTTACTTAATTATTTGTTATTTCAGCCTGATTTCTTATTACTTTTTATTAAAAGAGGTAAAAATCATTAATCCCACCAATTCCTTCCACCTGTACATGAAATGTTTGTATTAGTGGTATTTGTCCTTGCTTACTAGCTGATGTTGCTCCTCATATCATACTCCTCTATAATGATGTATAGCCTAGTTTCCCTTCGTAGTTTGGCCCTTATTTTCTCAAAACCGGTGCAGGTCATGATGGCATACTTAACAGTTTATTGTACACCACAACAGAAATAACATAGGGTTATTGTCATTCGCTATGGCATGAAGCTTGGCGCGAAACCCCCCATGCCCAATAATCAGGGTGGATCCATTTGGTTTCCAACCATGAATAGATGTTAGGAAAGCATTTTCTCAAGATAGATCCTATATGAGTAGTTACCTACCAGCAATTCCAGCCTAATGGTGTCCTCTCTTATTATTGTTTTCCATTCAGATGGATCTGCCCCAATTTTTTCTTGCAGTTTTTCTAGAAAACTTTCTGAGCTTCATTCTTAAAAGTTTGCTTCATCTTATCTTTTCTCTTCGATTGAGAGGAACACCTCCCACTAAAATCTTCACTGCTTCATGACCAACAGTTCTGTAGAATTCGGTTATTGTGTTTTTTGGAATGCTCTCACTCTTCTCTTCTCTAGTTGCAAGAGATTTTGATTCCAGGCTGGGTGTGCGTACCACAGGATACCCAGTACTTCTCCATTATAAATGGTCATCATTGTTGGAAACCTCAGGCTCCAGAAGGCCTCTTATACGTATAATTCCATTGAGGGCTAGGGTCACCCTACTTTTCAAATGATCCCAGTGAGAAGTAATATTGGATCTTCTACCAGACCTTACTCCATGGTAGGTTCTTTCCTCACTTGTACATATCCTTGTACTTACTTCTTTGTCATTGTATCTATCCCTTGTATATTCATGGAAATAGGGTAAGCCTTATTGCTTGGATTTTGGCACCTACCATTTCCATCTTTCTATTACTACCATTTTAATATGATAATTATACAAATCACTACCTTCTCAAGAGTAAAACTTCTCAATTAAGACCACTGCAGCATTAACAACCCCAAATTCAATTAGCAGCACAGTTTTTCACTTAAATATTTTTTATTAATACATGCAAATACTAGTTAAACATATTTTAAAACAACTTAGATATGTTGCACATCAATATTTTTCTTTTATATTAATCTCTCTAGTAAGAATAACACTTGCATGAAACAGTATTTGTTATGAAATAAAACTCTATACATAGATGCCTTCACTATATATAAGTATATAAATACTAAATTATGGATGTATATTTATATATATATTCTAGAACCAAATAATTCAGCAAAGTATAAAAGGTGGAGTTATTCTCAGTCATAAAGCATTAGCACTACAATCTGTGAGAAGAACACAAGCTGGAAATTATACTTGTGTTGCTTCAAATGTGGAAGGAGATGGGGACAGCAATACAGTACAACTAAAAGTCATGTGTAAGTGAAATATAATTTTTTCTTTTCTTTATTGTTTACTTAAAACTGTATACTGGTTTATCACTGCAAATAGCTTCAAGTGTCTTGTCACAGTGTTAATTTTTTTTTATATAGTTCCATTTGTTTTCTATATAGAACGTTTACCTTATATTTTCTTAACATTATTTCTTTCTTTTTTTCTATTGATTTTATTTAGACCAAATGTAATCTTTTAATTTTGTTTTATTTTGTTATTCTCAATGGACTTTGTCCCAGGAGAAAGTTATTTTCTAACTATCTATCTATCTATATATATATATATATATATATATATATATATATTTGTATATTAGATTTCATGAATGAGTCTTACAATCAACATTTCATCATGATGTTTTTAGACAAACCAATATGTAGAAGTGATCAAAAACATGTGTTTGGAGTTGCAAGAAATGAAGATGCAAGAATTATGTGTGAAGTTGATGCATTTCCTGCACCAGATAGCTTCCGTTGGTCTTTCAATAATTCTGCTGAAGCTATTGAAATAACACCTTCAAAATATCATAACTCACTCCACCTTTCTCTATCTACTCTTTCTTATACTCCTCAAACTGAAATGGATTATGGGACTGTAATGTGTTGGGCATCAAATACAGCTGGGCAGCAGCGAGAACCATGTGTTTTTCATATTATTGCTGCAGGTAAAAAAATCTCTCTCAATGATTAGTTATATTATCTGTTGAAATTGTTATATTTTCTTCTTCTTATTATTTGATGAATCAATATTTGATACTATGGTTTAATTAAAATTGAATTTCAGGTCGACCAGATCCACCTTACAATTGCACATTAATAAATCAAACACTCCATTCTCTTGACTTGGAGTGCTTGGATGGATTTGATGGGGGTCAAGTTCAGAATTTTCAATTAGAAGTATATAATTTTGAGACAAACTATCTTTTAGTTAATACAACTTCAAAACAACCTGTATTTAAAGTGGAAGGTTTAAATCCTGGTGTCAATGTTAAAATAAATATATATGCTTTTAATTCAAAAGGCAAGAGTGATATTGTAAGCCTTGATGGATTTACTCTAAAAATTGCTGAAAAACAAACTGGTAAGATAAAAATGATTTAATACAATTTAATAAGAAATATGACTAAACATGTTCCATAGTTATAAGAATAATACTTAAAATTTTAAAGTGTTCATCACAAATTTTACACTGGTTTCAAAAAAGCCTAGGATCCTTTTGATTACCAGAGATTGTAAAATATTTCAAAATAATATAGTACCCCAAATGAATCAATGGATTTAATAAGGAAGTCCCTGTTAGATATTTGAATATTATTATTATCATGTTGTGAATATTAAATCACAACACTGCAATATTTGTAATCACTACTCTTTATTCATATTTAATTTATTCATATTAAGATAACACTGTTAGATTAATACAACTAAATCACTAATTGGTATAATCGATATATCACAATTTCCCCCTTTCTAAAGAAAGTGTATCGTAGTTATAAAAATAGCAACATATTAAAAACATGGAAAAAAAATTTATCAAAAATACATATAATTCTTATATAAAACTAAGAACACAAATTAACTAACTGAAATAACAGCCTTCTGCAGCTCTAAAGGAGGGCTCCCACTTCCATGACCGATTCTTTGGTTGCTCTCTTGTTGATTTACAGAAATAGCCTCTTTTCTTATTTTTTTTCTCATGCAGAAATCTGACAAGTTGGTCCACATGGCGTTTGCATGAAATACCATTGTCTATTTCAACCAAAACTGTGACAAGTGACAATTTCTTTTTTATTCTTCCTCAAGTCATCTTATTTGCGGCATTTACACTAAAATAATTTACCATTACTTCATCATTTACCTGAAAGTTGATACAACGGGATGATTCATTTCTTAAGAGGGATTGGCACTGCTTAAGTTCCACATCATTATTCACATTTGGTTTCAGAAGGTCAAATTTCGTTTTAATTTCTCTTTTATACATAAGATAAGCTGGTGATCTTTTGGTAGTAGAATGCTCTATTCACCTGTAGTCTAAAAGAAAATTGTCCATAGCATACTCGACAGATAGCCCAGATTTTAACATCTTGCACATTTTATCTTTGAACGTACCAACTAAATTTTCTGCAGCTCAATTTGTTGCTGGATGTTTTGGAGGTGTTACTGTATGCCTTATACCATTCCTTTTCAGAAAATTTCTGAATAAACTAGTTGTGAATTGGGATCCTCCATCAGTAACAAAATGATCACACAATCCGTGTCTGACAAATAACTTTTTGAAGATTTGAATAACCTTCCAGGCTTTCATATTATCTCTCATGTCAAAAACTTCGGGCCATTTGCTGTGGGCATCTATGACAACTAAAAACATCCTATTTCGTAAAGGACCTAAGAAGTCAGGGTGTAGTCGAGACCAAGCAAAGCTTGGATAAGGCCACTGCGAATTCGCAGTTTTGGTTGGATTCTTTTTATTTGCTACAGAGGTGAAGCAACTTCCCACATAATTTTCAATATCTAAATCCAAGTTCGGCCACCAAAAATAAGATCTTGCCATTTGCTTCATCTTAGTTGAACCAAGATGTGATATGTGTAAATGCTTTTCAAATATCTAACATTTGGTGATGAGGATAAAATTAATGAAGAAAGCTACTTCGTGGGTGTATGAATTAAAGAAACAAGACTTGATTTTAAAAATAAAAGAATTAGGTGTGGTTTTTGATGAGTCTGATTCTGTAGATAGGTTAAGGCAAATTTTAGTGCAGGAACTGAGAAGTGAAAATAAAAAATAAAGCAAGGAAATTAGTGAAAAGATAACCCAGATTAAAACAAAGAATAAAGCAGCAAGCTATAGGATGGAAACCTGTAAAATTGAATTTCGTTTACATGAGGATGACTGGGACACTTTTATTGAAAGGTTAGAATTTTATTTCCTTGCACATGATATTGAAGAAAGTAAGTATGTACTAGAACTGCTTATAAAGGTGAGTGCAGAAACCTACATTCTTATCAGAAATTTAGCAATACCAAAAACCCCAAAGGACCTCTCATTTAAATAAATTGTTTATTTAATGTCTAAGCACTTAAATCCTATCCTCGTTTCCAAATGTTAGATATTTGAATATTAAAACACAACACTACAATATTACTAATCACTACTCTTTATTCATCATACAAGATAACACTGATAGGTTAATACAACTAAATCACTAATTGTTATAACCGATATATCACAGTCCCCTCTTTAACATTCAAAAAAGTGTATAAAGGAGATTTATTAACTTTTATTACAAGAATTTTAGATCATGAATTTGGTAAATATACAGAAGCCATTACGTCAAATGAAATATTGTTAGTGGAAGTTGGTAAATAATCTCAGTGATGTAGAAATAGAAAGGATTTTGCTTGAATACATAAAGAAGCTATATTATCAAAAGTTCTTCTAACCTGAGACAAATTGAAATGTAATAGTAATTAGAAATAAGGTTAAAGTAGAGAAACCTTTGTTATTCCTTTCAAACAGAAAATTAGGTTGTATTTCACAAATGTTTACCCTTACTAATGTATTTATGTGTACATAAATTTTATTTGTATAACTCCAGCCTGTTTTTTCATTTAACAACTTTATTTCTTTATTTTCAAAATTTTCTAATAAGCCTAAAGATTAAATATTTCTGTGTTAGATTTTAAATTTTAATATTCCAGCTGTCCAATTCAATATTTTTTTTCCTATTTCCTATGCACAAAATATTTTTCAGGTACTCCAGTTCCTTTTTATGTTACACCAGTGGTCGTTGTTCTGGTTGTTGCAACTGTAATGTTGATGACCTGTATTGTTGTTATTTTTGGGGTTCTAAAAGCTCGAAATAGAGCTCATGTAACTACTGAAAGTACTGGCAACCGATTAAATGAGAAAACAAAAGTTCCACTACGAATTGATGCTAGGGAAATTTATGACATGGATGACAACAATCCAGATCTTATTCCATCTAACAAAGGTAAACCAAATAATGAACCTCTCTATTTTCTTATGAATAACTTCGTAAATTAACACACAATTACTTACTAAATTATATTATGACCATAATGTTACCTCAAAATAGATGTGAATGTCCCTTTACCTTACTTTAACTACAGTAAAATTTGTGTTTTACTACATATTTAATATATTAACCTTTATTTCTACAACCAATGCATTTAAGTATTTATATGTAAAAATACTTGTAATTGAGGATCTAGGTGCAAGAATATGCCAAATCTGTAATTTGAGATACTGACATTCACGTATTACATCAAATCAAATCCGTCGATCATGCATATAAATATATATATATATATATATATATATATATATATATATATATATATATATATATATATATATATATATATATTGTGTATAAATAAGAACTACTGTGTCTACATAGTCCCTTCTAAAACTAAAGATTCAGTTGAATTAATATATATTATATTACAAAAGTAAGATGTGTAAAAACTAAAATATTTCCACATTCCAGCGGATTCAGATTATCAGTTGGTAGCCAATTCAAGTCTCCATTCAGGAAATTTAAAAATGGCTCAGGAGAGAGGTTCTAGTCAAAGTCAAGTGTTACATGAAAGTGTTAAAGATTCCAACCTGCTGAATGTTGACATCTATGAAAACTATAAGAATGTACATCATAATAAGGAACAGGTATAAATTTCTTTGACCTATTTATATTTTCTTATGATGAAATTAGTTCTTCACACTTTGCTAAATATAACATTTATTTATTAGCTAGTAAAATTTATTCATAAATTCCACTAAACTTAATAGAAGTAATTAATATGTTAATATCATAAGCAGCCACAGGTCAGAGTATTTTCATTTGAAATAATGTTAAATAAGAGAAAGATTGAAAGTATATTAAAACATATTATCCATAAGATTGGAACTGTTATTTTTATGTTATAATTCAGCCAATATGTTGTATTGCAGACATATTGGTTACAGAAGTTTGAAAATATCTAAAGCCTTTGAATTAAAAACACATAGGATGGCTTTGAGATGACACCTGACTTGTACGTTAATGCAATCTAAGTTTTACACTTTTTTTGAAAAAGCATTTTATATTAAATTTTATGAAAATTGTTTGTAATTTAATATCACAAACATATTTTGAGTTAAGATATTGTTGCCATAAGATTTAATACATATTAAAGTTAATATATACCTCCTAAAGATATTAAAATTATTTAGATAAAACTTATTAAACAAATCAAGAATAATTTTGATTAATAATCAACCAATTATGTTTTTAACATTATGCTTTATTGTTGTTGATACAATTTTTATATCATTTAATTTGATCTAACATTATACAGATGTTCAGTTTCTTGTTAATTATAGAATTTTTAAAATTTACTTATATATTTAAAATAATATAACTAATTATAGGTGAGCGTAGTTTAATTTTATAATTTACGTCTGATATTTACTTGCTTCAATTTCAGTTAAAATGTGTATAGGTTTTTTTTCCCGAACACATTAACATTAACAGTTTCTGTAATACAAACATTATATTTTCCAGGAACATTTTAGATCTATGAAAATAGATTATACTGTATACTAAATACTGCATATCTATTGATTAAATATCATCATCTTGGTCTTAGCACCAACAAGTTTCAATGATAAACAAATGATAAAAGTTAACACTACATTACAAAATGAAGTATATACTTTCTTGCTATTGGGACATGATGAATACTTTAACTGTTATTGAACATGTAGTTGCTCAATGCATCATTTTTATGTATTTCATATTCAGCTTATTTATTCACGTGTTTTAAATGATTAAGTTTTAAGTTTATTTTAAAAATTACGATTTTTGTGAAGTAGAACAATTTATAAAGTTGGTTCAATGTGACAAACTAAAAAAATGATTTGTCAAGAAAAGCTTTGTTACATTAACTAAAAATTGTTATTTATTTACCTTTTTTATATTTGTTATTTTTTAAATTTTCTTTTAATACTTTATAATTAGATTAGAATTGAAATTTAAAATTTAATGTTTATATAATAATACCATATCCACATTATATCTAGTCTATGATGACCTATAATAGGTCATTGGAATACTTTTATTTATCGTATTGATGGATTGATATTCGTATATTGTATTTATATAAATGAAAAATCTAAGGTCTACTATCAGGCTCATTTTTATTGTTACAAATATCTTAATTTTCCCTCTTTGCCTATAATATTGAATGATCTTATCGAATTTAATATACACATGATTTATTTGTAACATTTAAATAAATTGTAGCTTTGGCTTTTCTGACTACCTTTCTTCATTCTCTTGCTCTCTTTATCTCTCTCTCTTTCTCCACCTTGTCATTCCCAGATTTGACAGGTCTTACTCAACATCTTGAATCCTTCCCCTGCAAGGTTGCTCAACTCTTTTCTTCCCGATTACCTTGCAGCAATTTTCAAGGTATGATGTCACTTGACATTCATGTTACATAGTCCAACCATTCAACATGGTGAGCTTTGATAAACTGCACCACGTTTGTATCTTGATATAGTGATTAGAGTTCTTAATTCTAGCGAAATCTCCATATCTTTAAATTTAGATCGAAGACTACTCCATATTCTCATAAGGATCTTTCACTCAAATACAATCAGGCTCTTTTTCATTGAAGCAGTGAATGTTCAGGTTTTGGCACCATACGTTAAAATATTCCTTATCAATGTTGTATATAGGCTAGCTTAAGTGGTCCGTGATAGACATAAGACTTAAAAAATCTTATGTTAACTTATGATTATCAGCCATTATTCTTTTGTTTACTACATTAATTATCCTGTTTTCATTATTTAGGTTGGATCCAAGGTAAATGAAACTGCTGACACTCTAAAAATATCTCCTTTGAAGGTTAAGGGAGCATTATTCTGGGCTGACATCATACTCATATATTTGGTCTTTTTCTGATAAATCTTTAGATCAATTTTCAGACTTTTATTATTAAATATACTGAAAGAATCTTTGAGTGTAGCCATATTACTAACCACTTGGCAAATATCATTCGCATAAGTAGATACTTGATTACAGGAATGGAGAATGCTTCCCATGATACTCAAGTTCTTGATTACCTTATACAGGGCAAGGTTACAAAGTGTAGAAGACAGGGATCACCTTGCCTCATTCCCATCAAGATATAAAATTCTCTGCTCTGTTAGCCACCAACAAGGATCCTAGCACCTACCATCACTATTATTTAGAGTCATATCAATCAATCGTATTAATTTGTGAGGGATTTGAAACTCTTGGAGAACCTTGATGAGTTTGGGTTCTTTCCTTTAACACTATCAAATGTTTGTTGGTAGTCACTAAGAAGGATGTGGAGGTAAATCTTATACTCCCAGTACAAGGAATTGTCTCATCACAAATATTTGCTCCATAGTGCCTTTACCATGTTGGAAGCCACACTGGTAATAATTTAATATTCTTTCAGCAAAAATATTGATTGTTTTGAGAATTATATTCGAAAGTATTTTATACACCATGATTAAAAGGAAGATACAATGGCGATTACTACTTTGGAGCCTGTTGACTTTCTTAAAGATGGGACATATAAGGCTGGTATTCCAGTGTTTTAGATTTTTTTTTTCCCATATATCAAAAATCAGTGCATACAATTCATTTAATAACACATTACTCGCATGTTTAAAGAGTCCTTCTTGCCAGACGCTTCGTAGTTTAGAATTTACTTTGAAAACATTAATATTAAACTTCTTATTAAAAAATGTTTGTTTTAATTATATATCGCCTTACAGGGTGAAGACAATTATTTTGAAGAACAATGCATGAGAAGACTCAATAGTGGAGATGTTGCTGCTTCTTCAATTTTGAAAAGAGAAATCGCTTCAAATGTTTTTTCAGAGAATGACTTGAACCGTTGCAATTTATCACCCAGTGGTCTTCCAACACACCGTGAAGTGATAACTGTAAGAACACCACTGATGGCCAACCAGCAAGAAAGCTGTGTTTAGACAGAGAGATGAAAGAAAATCACTTGTAATATAATTTTAAAAAAGTTGTTAAATAAAATTTGAAATATAAATATGGGTGTCATACTAATCCTATCACAACCAATTCTTGCTTCATCCATAGTCCCTACTTATCAAACGTATAATTTTTATCTGAATGTGTATTATTTTTCTATGATAATAATCATGATTTTAGATGTTGAATGTTTTCTATTAGATAACATTTCTTATTAGAAGTCGATGTATGAAATAATTGTAACTATAAAACATAAGTTATCTGCTACAGTTTTTTTAATACAATGTCAAAATTTAATAGAATTAAAATTTATAATAACAATAAATATATATATATATATATATATATATATATACATATATATATATATATATATATATATATACATATATATATATATATATATATATATATATATATATATATATATATATATACATATATATATACATATATATATATATATATATATATATATATATATATATATATATATATATATATATATGTATGTATGTATATGTATATGTATATGTATATATATATATATATATATATATATATATATATATATATATATATATATATATATATATAAAATAAACATTTATTCTTAAGAAATATAATTGTCATAATTTATTTCAAACTTGTAGTGTATTGAAACTGCTATTTTAATCAAATTACTGTTTAATACTTTATGCAGCTGGTAGTGTTGTAATAAGTCTAATATAATAATTTTTTACTTTGTAAAATATTAATGTATTATAATTAAAACAATAATGATCTGAAATGTACTATAGAGTTGTGTATAATAAATATTATATTTTTATTAAAATAAATTCTATAAAACTTATATAAATTTCAAATTGATTTCAAATACTATTCATTTTGGTGGAAAAATAAATAAAATGAAGCTAACAAATTTAGCTATATTTTACCTCAAAATAATAAAACTGAGTTAAGAACCATGAATATATGGTTTAAACATCATAATTATAGTAACGATAAAAGTTTAATACTTTTTATATATTGAAACAGAATCATTTGAGGGACATGGATTTATTATCTATAAGAATTCTTGTATATATCACAACAGCTCAAAATAGGCTCTAAATGATACATGACTGAGAAGACAGTAACATTGTGAATCATTTATAATTTTGTTATTTATCACGAAATATTATTTTCCACAAAAATAGTAGCAAACAATAAAGCTTTTTTCGTACACATACATGATCAAAAGGGCACGTAACCTGGTCATTTACAGAAAATTTTGTAACATATGTTTTCTTTTCAAGACCATGAGATTGATTTCTTATACCCCATAAATATCACTTAGAAAAAAAAATAGAAAAATAAAAATTAATGAAGTGAAAATATAATTACACTTTTTTAGTCATTAAATAAATTAGACTTCACTGGTTAAATAATCAAATCATTATAATGTTTTACAAATCATAGTTCAAAACACAAAGTTAGAGTAAATATAAAAATGTATCATATCAGATGGGAATGACACTGATTCAGACTTCTCATTGAGATCGAATATAATATAAATATGTCGATACTGAATACACCTAAAATGAATTAATAATGTTAATACAAATAATATTTAAAACAATAATGATGAAATTTGATTTATTAAATTATAAGAACAGACAATAATTCTTATTTTTATTTTCAATATAAATAATTCTAAAAACTTGTTTTCTTTAACAATATTCAAAAAAAGAGTGCTGCAAATTATATTGGGTTGCTATATATACAGCATACTTGTACATCACATTGGACAATCTTTAAAACTTATATATATATATATCAATAATATAAGAGAATAAACTCTTTTAATGGGTTTATAATATGCTTAAAATTTTTACTTTTATTTTTTAAAAATGTGTACCGATGGAGAACACACCTGACCGACCATATGGGGGTTGGACTAAAGATCACCTGATTGTACTCCAAATATATTTGTATTGCAAAAATATTTGCAAATGAAGTGGACCATTATTCTTCTTCTTTCACTATCTCCTGTGTGCTGCTAAGCGTGGAGTAGCTGCCTCTGACCATCTTGTCCAACGGTCCCTGTCCTGTGCAAGCCTTCTCATCTCTGGCATGGTGCTTCCTCTCGCTGTGCCAATTCTCTCTATCAAGTCTGCATACATAAACCTTGGCCTTCCTTGAGGTCGCCTTCCTCCCGGTCTTGCTTCTAGAAGCCACCCGGCCCTACGGTCATCTCCCATTCTATTAACATGCCCATACCATTTCAACTGTCTTTGTTCAATCATCTCTAGGACGGATATAACTCCTAGTTCATCTCGCACACTTTCATTCCTTATTCTATCTTGCCTGGTTTTTCCCAATATTTTCCATAGGAATCTCATTTCTACAGAGACAACCTTGGTGGCATGGCAGTCCAAGAGTGTCCAGCTCTCCGATCCGTATAGCAGCACTGGGAGAAAAACTAATTTAAATAGCAGAATCTTCGCTTTTCTGCTCAACTCCTGCTTTCCAATGAGTGTCATGGATATTTGGTAGTATATTCCATTGGCCTTTTGGACTCTATTCATGATGTCCTGGTCTATTATTCCATCGCTGCCAATCATTGTTCCCAGGTTGCAGTAGTATCGGTTTGCTCAAGGGTCTCTCCATTGCAAGTGATTCTAAGATCCTCGTTCCTTCCTCCAATACACCATGGACCATTATGAATAAGATAAATAAAAAAACTTGATCCTTATTTAATGATTTTAATTTTGAAAAGTTAATTTACTTATACATATTCAAAAGTAATAAATCAACAAAATTTGCAAAAATCAAACTGTTTACATTGATATTTTTTGGGTTTAGAAATAAAAAAGTAACTTAAGTAAATTTAAAATTTTGAAAAACATTTTCTTATTTTTTTTTGTTTTAATACCTTGTTGGTCCACCTTGAACATTAATTACTGCCTGAAGGCATACTTCTTATTAGAATTTTGATCCTACCTGGAGGGATCGTCTCCCATTCCTCTAAGAGTGCTATGTGTAGTTCATCTAGAGTTCGGGAAAGGGCATTCCTTCCTGAAATCTTTCTTTAAAGCTGTTCCAATAAATGTTCAATAGGATTTATGTATGGAGAGCAAGCAGTCCAATCCAGATGGCCAATTTCTTGATTTGGAAGGAATGCATTTACGAGTCTAGCTCTATAAGGTCAAATGTTGTAAACAACAAACAAATTCTGGGCCAGTTGCTTCTACTATAGATTGCTCTATTGGTGTTAAGACCCTGTCCAAGTAATGCTGAGCAGTCATATTCTCATTTCATAACACCACAAGCTCTGTTCCAGATCTCAAGGATATACCATCCCACACTGTAATTGAGACTCCTCCAAACGGGTAAACAGGCAAGACTAATGAAGGATTGTATATCTCACCAGATCTCCTGGTAACACTTGCTCTGCTTGAATCGTGTTGCAGTGAAAATTTAAACTCATCTGTGAAAAGGCAATTGTCCGTGGGAAGATCAGTCCATATGTGAATCCGAATAAAGAGAAGTATTTTAACTTTATGTTATAGAGTGAGTCTTGGCAAGTGCAGAGGTCTCCGCCGGTGCAATTCATACTCTATCATCCTTTTTCTAACTGTGTGAAGGCTAATTTGCACATCAGTAGCAGAGAACAAATCATCAACTAGCCCTCGGTAAGAGTTGAAGTGATTTCTTCCAGCCTGAATAGTCAAACATTGGTCTTGTTGAAGATCTTTGACATACTCCACCATGTATATATTCAAAGGAACCGCTATTCTGGCAATGTTTCCATGAACAACTTACCACACTTTGTGAGGTTTGTTGCTTTGCTGTCACATTTCACTGGATATCACCTCCTTTCAAAGCAGCGACAGCTTTAGCAAGCTGTACTGCTGCAAGATGTCGTGCAGACATTCTTTAATACCCGGAAGAACTTTTAGAAAGGGTAAATAAAAAATTGGTTTAGGAAAAATAAAATAAAGTGAATGCGAGCTGTAAAAGAACTAAACTGAGAATAAAACCCTCTTCTGTTTATATCCAAGAGAATTTATTTTAAAAGAATTAGCCCATTGCGAGTCTAAATATTTAACAGATGTCAAATTGGAGCAATACTGATTCCTCACAATTTTATAAACAGTTAATGTAATGATTCACTTCATTTGCAAACAAGAATAATTCTTTTTTTTATTTTATTTATTTAATGAAATTTACAACTGTATAAACAATCCAACTAGTAAAAATGCACACATTGGAAATAATGACATGAACAGACTTGAAGAGATACTGTCCAGTGGTAGCACTTCCTATTTAATTCTAGGTGAGAAGATCACGTGGCCATCTTCTTTTCAGATGCCTAGGGGGATTATCAGGAATCGAGGAAGAAGCAAGGCTGGAATCAAGTGGATTTGGATGGGACTGGAATTTATCATGAAAGGATAGGTATCTGGCTCGGGCTAAATCAGCGACATAAGAATAATTCTAAAAGTAGCTGAGCCTGTCTGAAAATAAGTTCTGGTAACCAATCTTTTGGCCTTCCTATCAAACCAATTTGAAACCTATAAACTAACCATAACAACCTAAATACCTGTAGGAGATTAGTTCATGTCTTGAGTGAGCCCAGTTAGCGGAAGTCCAAAATTTGTGATCTATTCAAAGTATGATTGTAATTACCTCAAGTATTTAAACTTTTTAATACCACCATATAAATTTCCATACATACATTAGAAACTTTTATAATTCAATTGACAGTGTGATCAATGTGAGCTTTTGTCAGCTCGAAATTGTCTGCATCTATCTTAATAAATTAGATACAAGAGAAAAAACATTTCCTTGGACTTAACATTTCTAATATTCTTAAAACTTTCACTATTTATTTGTTTTTTGGGAGAAGGGAGGATAGGGTTAAATTATGAAATGCTTTTGTTATTTAATTTACATTAATCTTTACATTGAAACATTTTTAGATAGTAAATATTTCTTTACC